TTGCCCTAAAACCCTCTCAGAAATAAGAGAAGGCCCGCGTGCTCAAGACTGGGACGTATGATTTTTATATAAGCTGCTTTAGTTTTACTTTTATCCACATCAGTGAGGGACTAATGCCCACTTTCACCAACGACCCGTAAGATTTATGGGACCCCTTAGCATATTTAGCGGCCAGTTAGGGGATAGTTTCCGTTTCACCACTTTTAAAGGGTCCGTTACTGACTAAACGATCCCCTAAATTTATGAGATGGATTATTGGTCCCATAAACCTTCACATAAGTAAAAGCGACTTTTAGAGGACAAGATGGACCGTGATCTATTTGATTTTCTTGATAATTTAGACACAACTGATACTATATTTGATATAAATCGTAGTCGAAGACCTAAAATATATCGAAAACGACCAAATTATTTCAACGATTTCGATGAAATAGATTTTTTCCGAAGATATAGGTTATCTAAATCAACAGTGATATATTTGTTGGAAAAAATTGAACATATTTTGGAATTTCCTGATAATAGGTGAGTACCTAACTATTTACATATGTTATCAATTTCAATGTATGTACAATAGTCTATAATGTTATTAAAACTGTAGTTTATTAAATATTTAAGTTAAAGTGTGGGTTCCTGGGTTCCTACATTTTCACTTATTACCTATTATACCTAGCTACGAAATAAAGGTAAAAGCATAAAAGGTTACTTTATTGCTCTCCTAACAGTAACTTTTGAATAGAAAATGAGCCTGTATAGGTAGGCCGTAGGTACCTGTTTGGTGCTAACCTACCTACCATGGTAAATTGATACCCGAGGTATATCTTACTTATGTTTCTACCTATTTTAATTTGTAGTTGTTTATATTTTTTACAGGAACAATTCCATACCACCCATAAATCAATTATTAATAGCTTTAAGATATTATGCCACAGGCAATCACTTGCTTGCTGTGGCTGATATGGGTGGTACTAGTTTGGCTACATCCAGCCGGATAGTAAAGAGAGTGTCTCAAGCAATTGTTTCCCTACGTCGAGAATTCATTATATTTCCTGATACAAACAGAGACCAAGACAGAGTTAAGATAGACTTCTATGATATAGCTAGATTCCCTAATGTACTAGGCTGTATTGATTGCACACATGTAAAAATTCAGTCACCAGGTAAATTCCTCATTTTTATTTAACTACCTTTCACTAAAAGTTCATTTCTCTTAGTAGTCTATCAAGCAATGCTGATGAAGTATTATTTATATCTATAGGTGGAGATGATGCTGAACTATTTAGAAACAGGAAAGGCTACATGTCCATAAATGTCCAAACAATTGCATCAGCAAAGTTGTTGGTCCAGGATGTTGTTGCACGCTGGCCAGGCTCTACACATGACTCAGCAATTTACCAAAATAGCTATATTTATAGAAAGTTTGAAAGAGGGGAGTATGGAGACAGCCATTTACTTGGGGATAGTGGCTATCCCTTAAAGGTAAAAGAAAAAATAAGGAGAATAATAATATAATATTGATTAAAACTTAAGTAGGTTACAAAAAGAATTACAAAAATTACAAACAAAAAGAATAACATCATTCATCACAGAGCTCAAAATATTGATTAAATAAATACTTTTTATTTAATAAAAAGATTATGCATGGGTAAGGGATATTTAATTAATTAAAAAGTACACTTAAACTAGTTATTTGCAGAACCATTTTTAGGTATTCCTGATACATTTTGAAAGTTTAAGGTGTGACCTGGAATAGAAAAGAAATATTTTACATCATATAAATTACATTATTATATACAATAATACTTAAAAATATTTTTGTTTTAGCCTCATCTCTTGACACCTTATCTCAACCCTACAACAAGTGGAGAACGAAAATATAATGAGGCCCACATTAGAACACGAAATGTGGTGGAACGGCAATATGGTGTGCTAAAACGAAGGTTTCCAGTACTTGCGGTTGGAATTCGTTTAGCTTTAAACAATGCCATTAATGTCATTATAGCTTGCTGTATCTTGCATAATATATGCATATTAAGAAATGAGCAACAGCCTGTGAATAATGATGATGTGCCTAACCTGGAAGAGCTAATTGCAAGGGGACAAATAAATAATATGGCATTTTCTGACAGACCTTCTTTGTCATATGGATTTCGCAGAAATCAAATTACACAATATTTTGATAATTTATAAATATCTAATTTATTATGTAAAATATATATAGTAATTTCACCAATAAATAAAACACATACCTTTTAATTGGTTGCATACTTCAGTTTTAATTTCCAATTCCTTTCTAGCTGTTTCTAACTGCAGCTGGTACAATTCTCTTTTAAATTTTATTTCTTCTTCTAACATTTTAATTTTTAAATCTTCCACAGTAGCCTTTTTAGAATTCAAATCTTTAAAACCTCCACATAACGTTGAAACAACTTCAGCTTTATCCTTATTTTCTTTAATTATTGGTCGTCGTCTTTTCCATATAGGTGTGGACTTTATAAATTGAGACGATGTTGGTGATGACAGTGTTGGAGCAATGTCATTATTATTCCCAACATCGTTATTTTCAATATTTTCCACATTTCTTGTATTGCACTAAAATTGTAACAAAACAAATTCTAATATAAAAATCACAGTGTAAATATAATATAATCATACAGTGGGTCGACACCTATACAAATGAGTGAAATAATTTTGTATTGAAAATTCTGCCAGTTTAGTTCATTTTGTCGTTGTCGCCTCGTAGTGTTTCTCTGTCTAGCCCTCTATTGAACCACTGGTAGGAACAAAAGCATCTCCTTAAACAAACACAATAATATACATAACTTACTTTTATATAATATTATAATATGTAACAAACTTATTGCCCTGATTTCTACTACGGCATTTGGACTATTTGTCAGTCAGTTTCTAATTTTAATATACCTACATAATAGAGAATTCTATAAATACTAACATTTTCATTTTGAAATATTAAAATTTCCATTGTCTCATCACCAAGTATTGGTAATGAACTGGCTTCAGTAATTTGGTCAGCATCTGAATCCTGGACATCAGTTATGCCTGTACATGCTCGGCCCATCAAGTCACTGACTTGTTCCAAAATTATATCTGTTTTAACACACGATGGGCCACCTCCTGTGCCATTGTGACTGCTTTTGCTAAGTGCTTTGTATAACTTCGCATCAGTCTTCATTTTCTCCCAGACTCTCATAAGAGATTCTTTACTTCTGAAATGTTAGTGGTAGGTTATTAAAAGGCAATTCAGTACGTTCATCATAGTAGATAAAGAGGTTAATGTACTGAGAATACAGGTATTAGGTAGGTAACTTCTCATTCAAGTAAGTAAATAGAAACTCTTTAATACACACATTGCATATTATACAAAATCAAGATAATAATTATGACAATAACTATTTACAGCTATAAAGTTTGGATGTAAAGGCAACTTAACTTTAAAACAACTATAACAAGTACTAAACAAAAGGTTTATTTTTATCAATAACTGTTTATCAATAACTTACCTAGCCGTGGTTCCTGTGGAATTAAATCTTGTGCACAAATTCACCCACGCTTCATTCTTCGCTTGATTTGTTGTACCGTCCGTCTTTTTATTTAATATAACATTTTTAAAAGTATTCATTAACTTTACAAGTTTATCCTTTTCATCAAACGTGAAATTTTGACACCGCTTTCTCTTATTTTCGGCCATAATTATAAAATAAAAAGTTAGAAACGAGATACCAAAGGAAACACCACGAAAACTTGCAGCTGTGACTTGCAGAGACAAATGTCAAACAGTCAATGCACAGATAAAGCTGAGTGTCAAATACGGTGACTTGTCAAACATAAACTAAAAATATGATATTTTTATTAAAATATTAACAAAATGAAAACATATATCAGTCAAAATATGAAAGAACTAATTTCTTCATTAAAATAATACATGAATACGTATTTTTTGTATTAATATATATCATTTCCGATAAAACCGGTAACTACAACTGGGTATCAAGCACTATCGTCGTAAAAAATCGGTCACATAAGGAAGGGTCCCCTAGCTATAAGTCCGTTGCGTTCGTGAAAACAAATTTTAGTTATGGGTTGGTTTAGGGGACCTTTTAGCTTAGCGGTCGTCTAACTATGTGATTGTTTAGGGGATGTCGGTGAAATTGGGCATAAGTGTTTCAAAACGTAGCTTGTACCTTGTTACTGGATCGTGAATAGAATTTCGAGCGAATCGGTATCACAGAAATTGTAAAAGCCGTAGAACTATGTGTGTGTGTGAGCGATATATTGTAATGTGGTTTATTAATGGGTCCGTAGCAATCAAAGTAGATTTTCTTAGGGAAATTCTGAATTAAATATTTAAGTTTAATCTAAACAATTTTTAAGTATAACTGTTATAAAATTTAATAACACAGTTGTTAAAATATATAGGCAATATAATTCTGTCTCAACTTACATGAATAATAACAATATTTGAATAATATTTTAATTTTTTCTTAGTTCATTATCTGTCCATTTGCATTAGACTCATGCCCAATTTCACCGACATCCCCTAAACAATCACATAGTTAGACGACCGCTAAGCTAAAAGGTCCCCTAAACCAACCCATAACTAAAATTTGTTTTCACGAACGCAACGGACTTATAGCTAGGGGACCCTTCCTTATGTGACCGATTTTTTACGACGATAGTGCTTGATACCCAGTTGTAGTTACCGGTTTTATCGGAAATGATATATATTAATACAAAAAATACGTATTCATGTATTATTTTAATGAAGAAATTAGTTCTTTCATATTTTGACTGATATATGTTTTCATTTTGTTAATATTTTAATAAAAATATCATATTTTTAGTTTATGTTTGACAAGTCACCGTATTTGACACTCAGCTTTATCTGTGCATTGACTGTTTGACATTTGTCTCTGCAAGTCACAGCTGCAAGTTTTCGTGGTGTTTCCTTTGGTATCTCGTTTCTAACTTTTTATTTTATAATTATGGCCGAAAATAAGAGAAAGCGGTGTCAAAATTTCACGTTTGATGAAAAGGATAAACTTGTAAAGTTAATGAATACTTTTAAAAATGTTATATTAAATAAAAAGACGGACGGTACAACAAATCAAGCGAAGAATGAAGCGTGGGTGAATTTGTGCACAAGATTTAATTCCACAGGAACCACGGCTAGGTAAGTTATTGATAAACAGTTATTGATAAAAATAAACCTTTTGTTTAGTACTTGTTATAGTTGTTTTAAAGTTAAGTTGCCTTTACATCCAAACTTTATAGCTGTAAATAGTTATTGTCATAATTATTATCTTGATTTTGTATAATATGCAATGTGTGTATTAAAGAGTTTCTATTTACTTACTTGAATGAGAAGTTACCTACCTAATACCTGTATTCTCAGTACATTAACCTCTTTATCTACTATGATGAACGTACTGAATTGCCTTTTAATAACCTACCACTAACATTTCAGAAGTAAAGAATCTCTTATGAGAGTCTGGGAGAAAATGAAGACTGATGCGAAGTTATACAAAGCACTTAGCAAAAGCAGTCACAATGGCACAGGAGGTGGCCCATCGTGTGTTAAAACAGATATAATTTTGGAACAAGTCAGTGACTTGATGGGCCGAGCATGTACAGGCATAACTGATGTCCAGGATTCAGATGCTGACCAAATTACTGAAGCCAGTTCATTACCAATACTTGGTGATGAGACAATGGAAATTTTAATATTTCAAAATGAAAATGTTAGTATTTATAGAATTCTCTATTATGTAGGTATATTAAAATTAGAAACTGACTGACAAATAGTCCAAATGCCGTAGTAGAAATCAGGGCAATAAGTTTGTTACATATTATAATATTATATAAAAGTAAGTTATGTATATTATTGTGTTTGTTTAAGGAGATGCTTTTGTTCCTACCAGTGGTTCAATAGAGGGCTAGACAGAGAAACACTACGAGGCGACAACGACAAAATGAACTAAACTGGCAGAATTTTCAATACAAAATTATTTCACTCATTTGTATAGGTGTCGACCCACTGTATGATTATATTATATTTACACTGTGATTTTTATATTAGAATTTGTTTTGTTACAATTTTAGTGCAATACAAGAAATGTGGAAAATATTGAAAATAACGATGTTGGGAATAATAATGACATTGCTCCAACACTGTCATCACCAACATCGTCTCAATTTATAAAGTCCACACCTATATGGAAAAGACGACGACCAATAATTAAAGAAAATAAGGATAAAGCTGAAGTTGTTTCAACGTTATGTGGAGGTTTTAAAGATTTGAATTCTAAAAAGGCTACTGTGGAAGATTTAAAAATTAAAATGTTAGAAGAAGAAATAAAATTTAAAAGAGAATTGTACCAGCTGCAGTTAGAAACAGCTAGAAAGGAATTGGAAATTAAAACTGAAGTATGCAACCAATTAAAAGGTATGTGTTTTATTTATTGGTGAAATTACTATATATATTTTACATAATAAATTAGATATTTATAAATTATCAAAATATTGTGTAATTTGATTTCTGCGAAATCCATATGACAAAGAAGGTCTGTCAGAAAATGCCATATTATTTATTTGTCCCCTTGCAATTAGCTCTTCCAGGTTAGGCACATCATCATTATTCACAGGCTGTTGCTCATTTCTTAATATGCATATATTATGCAAGATACAGCAAGCTATAATGACATTAATGGCATTGTTTAAAGCTAAACGAATTCCAACCGCAAGTACTGGAAACCTTCGTTTTAGCACACCATATTGCCGTTCCACCACATTTCGTGTTCTAATGTGGGCCTCATTATATTTTCGTTCTCCACTTGTTGTAGGGTTGAGATAAGGTGTCAAGAGATGAGGCTAAAACAAAAATATTTTTAAGTATTATTGTATATAATAATGTAATTTATATGATGTAAAATATTTCTTTTCTATTCCAGGTCACACCTTAAACTTTCAAAATGTATCAGGAATACCTAAAAATGGTTCTGCAAATAACTAGTTTAAGTGTACTTTTTAATTAATTAAATATCCCTTACCCATGCATAATCTTTTTATTAAATAAAAAGTATTTATTTAATCAATATTTTGAGCTCTGTGATGAATGATGTTATTCTTTTTGTTTGTAATTTTTGTAATTCTTTTTGTAACCTACTTAAGTTTTAATCAATATTATATTATTATTCTCCTTATTTTTTCTTTTACCTTTAAGGGATAGCCACTATCCCCAAGTAAATGGCTGTCTCCATACTCCCCTCTTTCAAACTTTCTATAAATATAGCTATTTTGGTAAATTGCTGAGTCATGTGTAGAGCCTGGCCAGCGTGCAACAACATCCTGGACCAACAACTTTGCTGATGCAATTGTTTGGACATTTATGGACATGTAGCCTTTCCTGTTTCTAAATAGTTCAGCATCATCTCCACCTATAGATATAAATAATACTTCATCAGCATTGCTTGATAGACTACTAAGAGAAATGAACTTTTAGTGAAAGGTAGTTAAATAAAAATGAGGAATTTACCTGGTGACTGAATTTTTACATGTGTGCAATCAATACAGCCTAGTACATTAGGGAATCTAGCTATATCATAGAAGTCTATCTTAACTCTGTCTTGGTCTCTGTTTGTATCAGGAAATATAATGAATTCTCGACGTAGGGAAACAATTGCTTGAGACACTCTCTTTACTATCCGGCTGGATGTAGCCAAACTAGTACCACCCATATCAGCCACAGCAAGCAAGTGATTGCCTGTGGCATAATATCTTAAAGCTATTAATAATTGATTTATGGGTGGTATGGAATTGTTCCTGTAAAAAATATAAACAACTACAAATTAAAATAGGTAGAAACATAAGTAAGATATACCTCGGGTATCAATTTACCATGGTAGGTAGGTTAGCACCAAACAGGTACCTACGGCCTACCTATACAGGCTCATTTTCTATTCAAAAGTTACTGTTAGGAGAGCAATAAAGTAACCTTTTATGCTTTTACCTTTATTTCGTAGCTAGGTATAATAGGTAATAAGTGAAAATGTAGGAACCCAGGAACCCACACTTTAACTTAAATATTTAATAAACTACAGTTTTAATAACATTATAGACTATTGTACATACATTGAAATTGATAACATATGTAAATAGTTAGGTACTCACCTATTATCAGGAAATTCCAAAATATGTTCAATTTTTTCCAACAAATATATCACTGTTGATTTAGATAACCTATATCTTCGGAAAAAATCTATTTCATCGAAATCGTTGAAATAATTTGGTCGTTTTCGATATATTTTAGGTCTTCGACTACGATTTATATCAAATATAGTATCAGTTGTGTCTAAATTATCAAGAAAATCAAATAGATCACGGTCCATCTTGTCCTCTAAAAGTCGCTTTTACTTATGTGAAGGTTTATGGGACCAATAATCCATCTCATAAATTTAGGGGATCGTTTAGTCAGTAACGGACCCTTTAAAAGTGGTGAAACGGAAACTATCCCCTAACTGGCCGCTAAATATGCTAAGGGGTCCCATAAATCTTACGGGTCGTTGGTGAAAGTGGGCATCATGCGTGTTGGACTTTACCCTATCTAGGTATCACATGACCGCGAGAGTGCTCGACTTGTGATCGGCCATCGGTAATTACTAGTTAATGAGACATTTTAATTATGTTACGTCTCACTGTTATCTCCTTTTACGAAAGAAGAGAGTTTATCGACGGAAATGTTTGCTTAGTTGAGACATCAGTATCTTCAGACACTATTATTTACATGTTTTTATTCAAGGTTTTGTTTACCTACAAAATCTTGCCAATCAATTAGCTAATTTCATTGAAGTTTAGGGTAAACTTGAAAATTAGTTGAACCTGTTTTAAATATCAATAACCGATATTTAGAATGCTTCTATAAAAAAACGACTTAAGTTCATATGATGATTCAGCTCATTAATTTAGTAAGTTTCGCAAATAAAAGTCTCTGAGAGATGAGTATATATTTGTGCCAGTCGACTATAGGAGGCCAAGACTCATTTTGGATTACTGCGTTAGTTATTTATTAACTAATGCAGTAATTCAAAATGAGTAAATTTTACTAGACTGTAGGTCCGTGGAATTCATACGCAGTAAAATTTTTGACAACTTATAAACATAATATGACGTCGTTACCGCTTGTGACAAGCTGGCTAATTATTTTTGTGTACATCACGCAAGGAGCTGGACTAAATTTTAAGATTAAAGTTTTTATTTTTGTAAATGTTATTTGTATACGAGTTGTATACAACTTGTAAATAATATTTACGCTAATACTATCTAAGAGGAAAATGTGAGGAAGAATGTCAGGCGAGAGCAAGAGAAGTATAGGTCCAGAAAAAAACTATGTATTGAAGAGCGGTATGGCGGAAAGTAGGACGCATTCCTATTTTGTTTATAATAGAAGTATGAAAATATTAATGACATCTGGACGAGTTCACTTTCACCGCATTATAACTAAATGATCTTTAAAAACAAAGAGCAAAAACGTAAAAAATAAAAGACTTTAATATGTTAATTAATAGAATCAGGCGTACTTTGCCGAAATCCATGACATAATATTTTAAAGTTGTTAAAAATTACCTTGCGTACATCCGCTCGATAAAATAAAATGATGTGTCTTACCTAGGTGCTCTTCAAACTAGGTAAGACATCATTTTATTTTATCGAGCGGATGTAGGCAATGTAATTTTTACCAACTTTAATTTTCTTTAATATGTACTGTGTGTAATTTGAGTTTAAAAAGGTATCAAATTTTATGGATTCTATCGCGTTTAATTTAATTTATTTTTACTTAATTTAATAAAGCTGACGTGAAGCACCGACGCTTCGGGATGTCTGTAATCTATATCCCACCAAAAACATTCTGTAAAAAACTAGCCAAGTCTCGATGGAGCTGCTTGTTTATCTCTAAAAAGTAATGAAATCTAGACAAAGTCGTGCCAAGTCTAAGGTTCCTTACTGCGATTTCTTTATTATTATAGTTAATGTTGTGTGACTTGGCCGTTGAAGGGTACACAAGGGTACAAAACCAGGTGCTACATTGCATACACACCATTGCACCAATCTGTCGCCAGAATCGCTACCCATTGACGATGGAAAATTGCCACTTGGGAAACGTTGATTGAATAACCAGTCAATTGTAAGCTTGATAAAGTTGCGTTTACACGTAATGTTGCACGTAATTATGTTTACACGTAATGTTATATCTGTTGCAGCTACCTATGTTTGTTAAGCGAGATAATAGCCCATAGTGGTATTGGTAATTGGACGCTAGTGTCTCATTTTAGACGGTTGTTGATTGTGCAACACATGCATTGACAATGCTGACTTCCGCTCTCTTCTTTTTGGAGCGTCAAATCGACCACCGATCTAACATAAAATAGACGTACAAACGGACTTCTATCAATGATTAGAAGTCCGCCTGTACTGGAAATAATTTTTTATACTGTTTGTTTCAGGCTCGCCTATACAAAAGTATTATTGAAATACGCAGCTTTATCAAGCCTACAATTGACTGGTTATTCAATCAACGTTTTCCAAGTGGCAATTTTCCATCGTCAATGGGTAGCGATTCTGGCGACAGATTGGTGCAATGGTGTGTATGCAATGTAGCACCTGGTTTTGTACCCTTGTGTACCCTTCAACGGCCAAGTCACACAACATTAACTATAATAATAAAGAAATCGCAGTAAGGAACCTTACACTTGGCACGACTTTGTCTAGATTTCATTACTTTTTAGAGATAAACAAGCAGCTC